GCAGCTTGTTCAGCTGCCAGGGATAGCAGTTTATCTTCCAGCAAAGATGTGTACTAAGTGACTCTTTGAAATCCCTCCTAGTCTTATACCTCTAGGTTCTGTAGTGATGGGAAACTAGTTGATGAAATGCCATGTGAATACAGCAGAAATTCAAAACATGACTGTTTGGTGCCATAGGCTGTTGGCATATGTTCCTGCATATTTAGTTTATTTAGATATTCATATGTATAGAACACTCTGTGCATTGCTTAGCTGTGTTTTTAGCACGTGTTGGAATTGTCATCCCTTTTCCTCTCCTTCTCTTATTTATTGCATTTTATTTACTGCATAGGTATTCTATGGTGGCAGTGGATATCTCTGTTCCTGTCAGGTTTGGAGCTTGGCAATGAGCTGGACAATAATACAGATGATAAATACTTACAGATCGAATCATGAAAATGGTGTCAGTATAGTTAAATCCATTTTATTTACTGTGGCTCACTTTCCATTGAAAGTTAGTTATAGGTAAAGCTAATTGATGTCATATAGTAGTTATACATAAAATCTAGATAAAAATGTTAAAATTAGCTCTGTGAATGTATTTGCATTTAAAACTACAGCAAATTACACTGTTTAAAATTTCCCTCATTTATAATCTTCATACTCATTAAATATCTACTGGAAGATAAATTACATATGGTTTTCATTCTTGCAGTTGGAGGACTACCAAAAGTTATGCCAGTTTTAATGCTTTTTCTTCAGAAAGCCCTGCAATACCCTTCAAGTATCCTTGTATCAACAGATTGGTACAACTGTGATGGAGCTACCTCAATCACAAACACTGCAGTTGCAGCAATGTAGTCTAATAGGAAATTTACCTTAGTTGTGAACGATAAGCAAATTATTATTTTGTCTTTTAAGAAAGCTTTCCTTCTGCAATCAGTTTTTGATGACTTCAGATATTTACTCTGTATTTTTGAGAAAGGCCTCAGTGCCTTAAGAGAATACTTCCTAAAGTGAGGCCGTCATACGTTGTGTTGTTGCAAGCACAGTAGAATGCTGACCAGGGCTAGAGGGAACAGCACAAAGCTGTATGGAGGGAGGTTCAGCTTGGATACTGGGAAAAGATTCGTCACTGAGAAAAGGTGGTTGGGCACTTGAACAGGCTCTGTAGGTAGGTGGTCATGTCACCAAGTTTGCCAGAGTTCAAGAAGCATTTGGACAATGCTTTCAGATATATGGTCTGATTTTAGGTAGTTCTTTGTGGTGCCAGGAGTTGGAATCAGTGACCCTTGTGGGTCTCTTCCAAGAACTTGGGGTATTCTATGATTCTATTTTGTGTCTTGCACTGGAGAAAAAATGTTCTGCTGGAGTAACTTAAAACAGCCAAAACAACAAGAGGAGCTGAACGATTTGAACTAACCAACCTTATAAATTATATTTGTCCATTTTAAAAAAAAAAAAAAAAAAGTAGTGTAGGTGATTGTTTTCTAGCTCATCCTAATCTGTGTCTTTTCAGCAAACTGTCATCAGTATTTTTATTAACATGATGTACAAATAAAAGCAAACTCACCTGTTTATTAACTTGGACTCTAGAGAATTAGAATGTTCCCAGACTGATGAATGACCCACTTAATTATTATGTATATATACACACATATTTGTCTCTTTTGTTCATTTTGAAACAAAGGATCTCTTGTGCTATATTTCATATTTTAGCAGAGGCAGAACATTTGAATAAATCAGTGGTGTCAGTGAGGGGTAACTGCAGTTCAGTTACTGGTACCTTAATTTCAGTTTATCAAGGAAACTGTAGAGAAAATATCCCACTTTGAATAGTTTTAAGTTGAGCTGTCTAGAATATTCCAAAGATGGTAGACAATTTTCTGGAAGAAAAAGGCTTTCCTGCTGTAGTACTGAATCACTTTCTTATTAAAATAAATAAATATATATATATATATATATATATGGTTCCTTGACAGTGTAATGATCTTTGAACATGGAACAGACCTTATTATTTCAGATATGTGAAAATCTACAGAGTTGCTTTGTGATACTGCATCTGAAGTGAAAAAAAAAAAATCACTCCAAAAATTACATCTGTGGGTCATTTTTAGACACTTTATTACAGGTCATGCCCATGGATAATTTCATTGTACTGTGTAACATGACACAATACAATTGTTAATAATGACTTAGAAAGGCAGTGAAGTTTGTGCTTACATATTTAGAAATGACTTTTGCATCTACAGTAAAGTAGGAGAGGAGAAAGGAAAATAAAATAATTTAGTTGATGTGAAAAACAAATGGTTAGCAACTGAGGGAGGCTTGTGAGTGATATAGTTTTGGGATGATATAGCAGGATAATGCTTCAGTTTGTAATCTGCCAAGAGCTGTCTGCATCTAGTGAAATGTATGCATTCCTTGCTGAATCACTGAAGAAAGACTCTGAAACTGGATGAAAGATTTTGGCCTGTTCAGGACACTGGTTGGAGGAGTCCCTTGGGAGGCAGTCCTGAAGGGCAAAGGAGTGGCTGGGCACTCTTCAAGAAGGAAATCTTAAAGGTGAAGGAGCAAGCCATCCCCACATGCTGAAAGATGAGCTGGTCCAGAAGAAAACCTGCCTGCCTGAGCAGAGATTTGTGGCCAGGGCTCAGAAAGTAAAATAAATAAACAAATAAAATAAAGTGACCATTGGAAGAAGGGGTGGGCCACTCAGGAGGACAAAGATGTTGTGAGGCTGTGGAGAGGGAAAATTAGAAGGGCCAAAGCCCAGATGGAGCTCAATCTGGCTACTGCTGTTAAAGACAATAAAACATGTTTTTATAAATACATAAAAAAGAAAAAGACTAAGGAGAATCTCCATCCTTTATTGGATGTGGGGGGAGACATAGTGATGATAGACACAGTGACAAAAGTTTGCAGACAACACCAAGTTAGGTATGATTGTTGATCTGCTTGAGGGCAGCAGGGCTCTGCAGAGGGATCTGGATAGGCTGGATTTATGGCTTAAGGCCAACTGTATGAGATTCTACAAGGCTAAGTGCCAGGTCCTGCACTTGGGGCGCAACAACCCCATGCAACACTACAGGCTGGGGAAGTGTGGATGGTATACTGTCTGGCAGAAAGGGACCTGGGTGTATTAGTTGATAGCCAGCTGAACATAAGCCAGCAGCGTGCTCAGGTGGCCAAGATGCCAACAGTATCCTGGCTTGTGTCAGAAACAGTGTGGCCAGCAGGACTAGGGAAGAGATTGCCACCCTGTATTTGGTTCTGGTGAGGCCACACCTTGAATACTGTATTCCGTTTTGGGCCTCTCACTACAAGAAGGACATTGAGGTGCTGGAGCATGTCCAAAGAAGGGCAACAAAGTTGGTGAAGGGTCTAGAGAACAAGTCTGATGAGAAGCAGCTGAGGGAAGTGTGTTTATTTAGCCCAGAAAAAAGGAGGCTCAGGGGAGACCTTATTGCGCTCTACAATTACCTTAAAGGAGGCTGTAGTGAGGTGGGCATTGGTCTGTTCTCCCAGGTGATAAGACTAGAGGAAATGGCCTCAAGTTGCACCAGGGGAGGTTTAGGTTGGATATTAGAAAAAAAATTCTTCACTGAAATAATTGTGAAGTATTGGAACAAGCTGCCCAAGGAAGTAGTTGAGTCAACTAGGAGGTATTCAACTAGGAGATACTCAAAAATGTGTAGATGTAGAGCTTGGTGACATAATATAATGGTGAACTTGGCAGTGCTAGGTTAAAGGTTGAACTTCATGGTCTTGGAGGTCTTTTCCAACCTATATGATTCTGTGATTCTATGATTCTAATTTATACTGGACTAGAATTGAAAGAGGGAAAGAAGACTGAAAGGGATCAGAAAATAAGGACCTTCAGCTTTCTGTAGTATATGTATATGTGCATGTGTATGTATGTATAGGGAGATTTGCATACATATGCAAAAGTATACAGATATACATGTAGAGATACATACAGATAGTCTTGGAGTACCAGAGTGACGTTCACTTCTAAAGGTATGTGGTAATAAATGATACCGTATTAATTTTGTGCTACATCATTTCTGTGGCATACTGTATTGCCATTTAATCATTTGCAATGATTAAAAACTGACTCTGGTTTTAAAATAAGTGAAATAGTATATCTATATATTAGGTCTTTTGCTTTCTGATACTTCAACTTAAATTTGATTTTATTTTTAAGGTGCTCCTTGCAATCACTGTGTTTGGGAAAGTTTTCATAGAATCTGTCTCACTGAACTGTTTGAACACATAATATAGTATTTCTTGTAATAAAACATGAGAGTTGACAACAGAAAAGATTCAAGGTCACCAGGATATTCTGTATTCTAAGTAACAATAAACAAAACCTTGCAAGACTTAATGTTGAAAAAAATACAGAATATGACTCATGTGCAATGTGTGGGAAGGAACACAAATTACAAGCACGTGTAATCTGATTGTTTCTTTTAATCAATCTGGAGACACAAAGACATGGGGAAAGTAACTATTAATGTCTGATGACTTTAATCACTTATCAGAAACAATGCCTACCTTTCTGCGTTTTTCTCAGTTTTCTAATTGCTCTGAGTGGAAACAGACTGAGATGATACACCTTTTAAAATACAGAAATACTTGTATAAATTAGTGTAGCCATTATTCAGGCAATAATTTGTTTATTCAATGAGATAATAGCTTTTGGATTGCAGTGTGCTACCTTGTAGCTGTAGCTGTGCCAGCTTCCTTTAACTTCCTATTGTTTCCCCTTGCCCTTGCCATTTACATTTTTCTTGCCCTTTCCCTTTTTCTTCCCCATTTCTTTCCTCTTCCTTGTTTCCTTTCCTTATCCTTTTCTCTTCCCCTTCCCTTTCCCTTTTACTTTCCCTCCCCTATTTATACTTGATGTATATAAGAAGTTACATTTAACCCACCAAATAGGCAACATCAAATGCAGGTATCAAAATATTCTGTTTTTGTTTGTTTGTTTGTTTGTTTTGGTTTGTTTGTTTGTTTAACAGAAGGACGGAGAAAAAAATCATAAAGTCCGACTGGCAGTTGGAAACGGAGTAAGAAACGATGTGTGGAGAGAATTTTTAGACAGATTTGGTGCCATTAAGATCTGTGAGTTTTATGGTGCTACTGAAGGAAACATTTGTTTCATGAACCACACAGGAAAAATTGGATCTGTTGGACGCACCAATTACTTTTATAAGGTGACTATTTATATTTTACTTTGTAAAAGGGTGTGCTGAAGGTCAATGTATTTTTCAGTTTGACCATAGGGCATGGGGCTACAGTCGTAAGTATAAGGTAAATTTTCTAACTTAGTTATTGCAAGTTTAATTGATGGCCTATAAAACCTCAGCTGCCAAAGTCTCGTTTTGTATTTCAGCAACTTTGATGAAGTTATATGTTTTGGGGAAGAGCAGTACTTGTAACTTATATCATACATGCTCTCTTCTCCTTCACCTGTCCAGTTAAATGAAGACAAATTGTGTGATGGGTCAGCTTATCAAGTGGTATGTCCACATACGTACCTAAAAGTATTTCACCAAACTTCACAGATTTTGCCCTTGGAGTGCTATTAATACCACACTTAAACAACTAGAGAGAACAGTAAATAATGCATGTCTCAATCTCAAGCTTTAGCTAATAACATGTAAAATTACTTTGCAATGGTTTCTAAAAAGGAGACTAGGTATGTTATGTTATGTTGCTATTTACGTCAATTTTTACTCAAAATAAAATAAGACTACACACATTGCCTAGAATTTACAAAAGTAACTCAGATACCTATCTGTGTGTACAAATCCTCCTGACTGAAGTGGCATTTGTACTTCAAAGGAAAACTAACAGTAAAATATCCATACCAATCTACTTTCACTATGATGTAAAAATATTGTTTTGAAACACATCTGTGTGAGGTGACTTTGGATGAAGTGGAAATATGTTTGTAGACAGCATATGTCCCAGGTTTCACGATCTCAATACATCATCATCACATAGACTACTTCACAACTCAGGGCCCAGAGAAATTCCCAGATCTTCTCTTCAGGGATTGGAACCAATCAGCCTCTGTTTTGCCTTCAGACTCTGTAGGAGGCAACTTGGAAACATTCAGAAAGAGACCACAAGAGCTGCAGTGTTTTTCAGAAACTATTGAGAGCTCAGGAATTAAAGCAAATTTACTCTGCTGATTTTGTGTGTTATATATCATTGATACTTTGTAATTTGCACAGTGGATATCTGATGCTGATAGCTGTCTCTAGAAACATACAGATCCACCACAGGATATAAGGAATCTGGAACTTAGGGGAGTAGTAGCTGAATTGGGAGCCTCAGAGCTCATGTTACATTTTCTTTTAGAGGGCTAAATGATCTAATTACTTGTAAACCATTTTTTCCTTCTATCTCAGGAAATTTTACATTTGTTCAGAACTTGAATATGTTTTCAGAATTTTAGAACTTTTGACAGATTTTTGTCAGAAGTCACTAATCTTCTGGACTAAGTTACAGCAGAAAAAGAATTATACTTGAAATTACCTATTTATTGGCTTTTCTCTACTTTTAGCCAAGTAGTAGTTTGTACTTTTTGCATGCATTAATATTGGCATGTCATATATCAATAAAATTTGTTTTATGCATTCCCAAAAGGTAATTTAGTGTTTGGGGCTTTTATTTATTTATTTATTTATTTATTTCACATGAAACACGATGCTTTTTCTTCTTCAATGACTGGATTTACAATTTAAGATAGTTGCTACAGATTAGGAGAAAAAATAGCTCATGAAAACTGCAATTAAAAAAATAAATGCAGTTGTAACTAACTACTTGATTTCACTAGACTCTTTCCTATATCTTATATCTTTTCTATAATTTATATGCTTTTTCAACTTCAAACTGCTGCAGTCTGTGGAAACATCAGTATAGTCTGCTAAGATAATTATGGATTGTCGCCTTGCTTACACAGTATGAATATGGAAAGACAATAAGGGATTTTATAAACCGGAAAAAGCCATTCATAGCATTTGGCTTGGCTTGAAATCAATTTATGTTCTGTCTTTTTTACTCTGTTTTCCTTAGAAATACATCTGCAGTGAGTCTTCAGTTATTTCTTTAGTTTCTGTTATCAGGAACGTAGCTAAAGCACATTATATATATATAGTGAGCAGGCTCAATGTTTAGCTACTACCGTTGTCCATGCAGGCCCTTCCACCAACATACATGAATTTGGCCTTCTGTGTCTGTAGAGAGGAACAAAGGTTGTCACTGAAAATGAGTTTCAGTGTGGAGACAAATTACCTCACCTTGATTACAAAGGCATGGTATCTTTAGCTAGGTTGGTGGGTGAATTATATGACCTTCATTATGTGGGAATAGATCTGGCAGAAATATCTTCCAAATTGAGGTGTTCTGAAAGATTTTTCCAAAGCCATATCAGGCACTTTTTCATAAGTACTCTGTTTTGATTGAGAACATATATGGTTGCGTGATGTACCTGATCTTTCTCTCAAATAATTTATGTCAGCAGAACAAAATGACATATTAATATTTTTGTATTACACTACTTAGATGTGTCAAATTATTTTTTTTCCAGTCTGTTAACTGATGGGACTTTGCTCTTTTTTCCTGTTCAGTCACTCTGGAATGACAGCTCCTTCAGTCTGCTTTGTGACACTTTCTAGTTTGCAGGAGCAGCTAGCTCCCCCATATGCTGAAGCAAAGTAGTGTTGACATGAACAAACGTTTATGTATCTGTATGGATTGTGTAAGGAGTTGCAGAAAAGAAAAATCAAAACGAGGTCGAGAGAGAGAATGAGTGGTGAAAACATGAGACATACTTTTTGTGGTTTTCGTATATTAAAAAATAATAATACTAAAGTTTGGGGACCTACTTTTATATGTGTTTTTGATTATTCTGCAACTGAGTATTGTGACACAAACTCACACTGTGTTTTAATGCCATATCTAAGTTTTGACTTATTTAAGGCTTTTGCTGTTTTTAAATATATTTTACAGGTTGTAGGTTATTAGACAATGCATTCTGCAGTGTAGCTGTTGTGTTTGTTTTACTTCAGTCTGCATGATATCCACTGGACATCTAGTGATATGTAAACAAGAGCAGCTCTATTTCTGATTCTCTGACCCTTGAATGATCTGAAGTTTAAAAGTGAGACTGTCTTATGCTGGAAAGCAGAGAATGGCACAAAGAAGGCACATCTATCCAGTTACTAAATTATTTTGTTTCTGCAAAGAAATCATACTATGTTTGAAATCTTACCCTCTTGACATATAGGATGGTATGATGAGATATCCTTAGACATATATTCTGTGAATTTCCTACATACCTCTTTCTTAATCTGGGAACAGAAAGAAAGAAAATTGAAAAAGGGGAGAAGAGATTTGTATGACTGTACATGTGATAACAGCAAAGGAATAAACATACTCTCTATTGGCATAGTTACACAGTCAGAATGAAGTGATACATACATACAAAAAGCAAAAGTATAGTTGGAATAACAGCAGGTAGGTTCGAAATGTTTGAAATATATTACTTTTAGTGGGGAAAAACTAATAGAAATATGATGTCATTTCTTTTGTGCCTAATGGCAATAAAGGCACAGTTTCCAAAGGTGAAATGCTGACAAAGGTTACATCTGTAAAAAAAAAAAAAAAAAAAAAAAAAAAAAAAAGCCCTCAGAGTGAGAAAAAATTTTGAAAAATTTTGTAATTTTTCATGAATGGTGGAGCAGTTGCCAGACATCCAAGAAGTGACTGTGTTTGAGATGTTAACTCAAGGCACTGCTCTTGTTTGCACTTGTTTTTCACATAGTACTCTTTATGTAATAGGAATTGATTCATGTGCTTGAAAGCATCACTGTGGTATATCAATAAACCCTTAAATGTGGATATTCATAATGTTTATATAGACTTAGTGAAAAGAATAGTAGAATCATTTGACTAGCTTTTTAGATGATAGCTCTTGAAATATTTTACAAAGAAGATTGTGTAGATTAGCATAGTAGTATAATAAATTGCTGTCTGAAGTTTATACCTGACATATATCTGTATGCTAACATTTATGATTAATTTTATTATGACATTATCATAATACATCAAATGTATTATGAAATCAATTATGTATATACATATAAATTTTATTTTTTTTTTGGAAAAAGACTCTCAGTAACGTCTATCAAATAAGTATTTAAATGTCGGTCTTCCACTGAAATATATTCTGTGTGACAGCAGAGAATATTCAATGGGGGAATAGAACTGATGAGATACAAGAAAGCTTATAATAAGGCCTAAAAATAATCCATGGCAAGAATACCCGAAAGAACAGCATACAAAATATGTATTCAAATTTTTATTTATATTTTTTCATTATTTTAAGTATAAGTATTGCAACAATTACAGGAATCTAAACCTTTCTTACTCAAAATGGTATGCATCAAAATCAGCTGTGAGCTGAAAAACATTTAAGTCATATTTTATGGAAAATGTAAATTGTTAACATTCATAGAATCATTGAATGGCTTGGATTGGAAAGGATCTTAAAGATCACCTATTTCCAATCCCCCTGTCATGGGCAGGTACATCTCCCATGAGACCAGGTTGCCCGAAATCCCATCCAGCCTGGCCTTGAACACCTCCAGGGATGGGGCATCCACAGCTTCTCTGGGCAACCTGTGCCAGTGCCTCACCACCCTCGGAGTGAAGGATTTCTTCCTTATAACTCATCTAAATCTCTCTTTTTTTGGTTTAAAGCCATTACCCCTTGTCCTATCACTCCATTCCCTGACAAAGACTCCCTCCCCAGCTCTCCTGTAGGCCCCTTCTAGGTACAGGAAGACAGCTATAAGGTCTCCCTGGAGCCCCCTATACTCCAGGCTGAACAAGCCCAATTCTCTGTCTGTCTTTCTGGGAGAGGTGCTCCAGCCCCTTGATCTTTGTGGCCCTCCTCTGAACTTGTTCTAATACATCCATATGTCATTTCAGCATTTAAAACATCTTATGTAAAACAGCAGCACAGAATTAGTACTATGCACATTTTTTTTTTTTTTTTTTTTTCCCGTAGAAGCCATAGAAGCAAATGGCAGAAGATATCATTTTTAGTTTAAAAGCTGTTTAACCAAGTCTTAAGACCCTGTGAAACTGTATTCATGGACAAGACATTGATATGTGTTTGTGCAAGCACTGGAAGCTCTTAAGTTCATTGGTCAATGGACACAAATGTGTATCATATTAACTAAAAATTAGTGTTGGTTCTGCTCTTTTGACTAGTTTTGATCTAAGATAATCTAAGGTACTTTAAGTGTATACCAAATTATCTTACTTGTGGTGGAATATATGATGATTCTGTTAATATCAAGCTTAGCTTTAATTTTTTTTCTTATTGTCATTCAGTATAAGTTGAAACTAGGAATATCAAAGCTAATTTTGAAACAACATTTAACAACTTAAATTTTCTTTCTTTCTTTCTTTTTTTATAATATATAGGGTTTTGCAATGCAGTTGTTAAATAACATCCAAATTGCACAGTAACAGACAGTAACGTTGCAGTTTAACTCACTTTAAGTTTCAACTAAGTAAATGATGCTCTTTTTTTTGATGCATTTACGTAGTGCTTTAGGGAACAAAATACACATTAAAATTATGAATGCTGCATGCGCTACTGTGTGAAAATAATATGGTAATGCTTCAGCAGTTCAGGCTCTCTTTTCCAATAAATTTTAAATGGGATAAAACAAATGTAGACCAGTACCCAGACTAAATGCTTTGCTCTGGAGCTTTCATTTTCTATTAGTTAATATGGAAAGAAAGCTGTTTGCATAAAGACAGCAGTTTGAACAGAAAGTATATTGGCATATGCTTTCGTTGTGCATGTCTAATGCAATACATGTTGTTTTCACCTTTTAATCAAGTATTTGCATGACTTATTTCAAAGACCTAACTAGGCATAGATAGGCATAGATAATATGTCAAAGCTGCAAGCAGTAAAAGATATATGGAGTGACATAAATAGTAAGAGTCACATCAGTCTTAGATGATCTCAAATACTGAATTAAAGCTACTGACTATTTCAAACAACTTAAAATAATACATCATGCAGACTAATATGTTGACAAAACATATCTACTGAGCTCTGAAGGAGTAAATGGATGAAAATGGAACTGAGCAGGGCAAAATGCTATTTTAATCAAATAAAAAAATATCAGAATAACGTTTCATATTATAGAAGTAGTAAATATCATTGTTTAGAAAAAAAGGGGGGATGGGGGAGGTGTTAAATGTAGAAATCCAAAGCAAATTCTCCAAGGGAAAAACAAAACAAACAAACAACAAGAACAGCAAAAATCCCTTCTGTTTACTGTTCATTATGAATACCTTTCATGTGGCTTGTGAAGAGTAAAACAGTTATTTTCTAATTAAGGTAGACCCTTTAGCTCTCAAATTCTTGTCGTTGATAAACACTATAGAATGTTGTTATAAAGAAAAATTTCCTATGACTTTATTAAAAAAGTGTCCAACTCTTAGATCATGACTTGATTTTGCACAGTACACTTCAACCTTGTTCATTTGGTCAACAGTTTAAAATATCTTTTGATTTAGATTTAGGTTACAATACAATGGTCAGTTTTGAAAAGTGAAACACTTTTTTTCTAAAGGACGCTGAAACTGTGTGCTTAATGTTTGATTCAAGCCCCTATTTATTTGGACTTCTTGAAAACAAAATGATGTTATATAGGTACAAAGACATTTAAAGTTAGGATAAAATCATTGTACAACTTGTGTAAACTAGGTGCAGAAAAGCAAAGGGTTTTATGCTTTGGCACTTTATCCATTACTTCAGTCACTTTCATAACAACATCCTTCAATTACATTATATTTTTTTATAGTGAAAAGTGCAGGTTTTTTTAATTGTTTTCTCTGCTTGTCAGGATTTTTGTGGGAAAATATATTACATATCCTTGGTTTGACTAACATTAAATAGATCAAATACATTATTAAATAAATTGCCAATATACTTCTTTATGAAAACAGAAATTAGAAGACTCCCAAGCTGGACAAATTAAAGCCTTAGGATAATAACCACAACAACAGTGGTCCATGTGGTATCAAGCCTATCGCTGTCTTTGAAGTCTAATGTAGATTTATATCACAGTAGAAAAATAAGCTGCAGTAAGAGTCAGACCCTGCATATCTAGTAGGAAAATTATCATGATTTGTAGTGTTGATAAGAATATCTTGCCCTCTCCTTCAGCTTATTCAGAGTCATATTCTCTGTGATACTTACGAGAGGAAGGTTGGTTGTAAAATAAAAGTAGGAGATCAGTTAGATCACCAGTGTTAGGACGCATGGGTTTACAGTATTTCCAAGAAATGCAGAACTGACACTGACATAACTATGGCACATCTACAGCTACATAACTTTGTAAAATGACATAGGAGTACATATCTTTCTGCTGATGCTTGTGGTAGGACTTCTCAGAGGGAAGAACTGAAGCTAGTTAGGCAATAAAGCCCAGTAGGAAGCAGGTTTCTGTTTGTAAGGATATGTAGTCCTGTGCTTTCCCATTTGTTTTAGGCACCAGAATATCCCTATATAAAAATATACTTTTCGTATCAGCCACCATTAAATGTCAGTTCAAATTTCCAATATGCCTCTATTATCCTGACTCTGTAAGCTGTTCCACTGATAATGTGCATCCCACAACTAATTTATAAGAAAATGAACAAAATCAAAATTCTGTCTTCACGAAGTATTTTTGAAAGTTACAGATTATATAAATATTCTGATGTTACTTCCCTCCAGGAAATGGTGTAAGTTTACACACACAAGGTTTAAATGAAATGCACTCTTCTTTTAGATGTCCAAGACTAAAGGTTTCTTTGCTTATATCTGCTGCCACCAGATGTCACTGTGTAGATGAATAACTGATGACACTTTTTCCCCTTTTTAGCTTTTTTTTCCATTTGATTTAATCAAGTATGATTTCCAAAAAGATGAACCAATTAGAAATAAGCATGGTTGGTGTGAGAAAGTTAATAAAGGTAAGCATGTATTACAGTAGGATACGATGGTCTTTTGATTGCAATACAAATACTTCAAAGATTATTTTTTTAATTGCTATTGTATTACTGTAGTATGCCAACATAAACTATTATCGCTTGCTCTGAAAAAAGCAATATGATTTTTGATATAAGACAGAACATTATTAAGCACAGCAGTGCTGACACCAAAAGAATTTAGGAGATACTTGGATATGTTCACAGAGAGCAATGTATAAAAGTGACAATATGGTATTATCACTGAATATGTAAGTAATGTGATCTGTATTTTTTAAAGGAGGTTAACAAACTGAGATGATTGCCTAAGAGATCTACAAGAAAGTCTGTTGAATTAGAGCAAATGCTTTTTGGAGATTAACTGCTGTGGATAAAGTGTTCCTGTACTTAGTTTATCAAATATATACATATGTAAGAGGTTGCTTGATTATAACTGTCTTCAAAAGACTTATTAGATATCTAGTTTTTCTTTATTGTACCTATTTTCAAAGTGTTTATCAGATACTAAAGTATCCCTATTGTACTGTGGGAAGATAACAGCTGTAATTAATGCCTGGAAGCTGAAGTGAGAAAAACTCATATTTAAAGATCAGGCAAACTGCTTTAACAGGGAGCTGAGGCAGATTTTTCAAAGGAGTTTGGATTCTGTAGCACATCATAATCAAACATGGGCAGTTCCAGGAAAATATGGTTCCCAAAAGGTGTAAGTGACGTAACTTCAGATATATTTTTATTTTACATATTTTTATCGTTGTAATTCTTTTCTTTGATAAAGTAATGCAACACTTAAGCTTTGTTGTTCAGAACATGCTTCCAAAACTGTTAGGAGTTCATACTATTCCACTTTCAGGAAACAAATCCTGTGATATACAACATGCATAACAGGATTATCCTATTCCCATATCTCTGATTTTTGTTGTTGTTGTTCTTTTGTTTTGTTTTTGTTTGTGTTTGTGTGTGTGTGGTTTTTTTTGCTTGTTTGTTTGTTTGCTTGTTTTAGTTTGTACTGTTTGTTTGTTTGTTTTTAGGAAAAAAGAAAACATTGATATTTTACTCTGCAAAGAAAGCAACAATGTTTTATCACATTAATGAAAATTCATCAGAAGAGTCCTCAGAACTTCTGAAGTTCTGAGATTAAATAAGGATTTACTCTCTTGGTTGAACACCTGCTTCTTTAGAAACCCTAGCTTTTTAATTCAGTAGGAAAGTGCTGAAGTTGAGACTCATCACTAAAAATTTGGTAAGGTGTGGGAGGTGGGACATAATATTCACTTGGAGTGAGTGCTTTCAGAAGATAAAGTTACTGTGACTAAAATCACAGTTGATGGATGAGAACTGTTTAGTCATCAAGAAGAAATACAAAATACTGGGAATTTAAGTGGAGAATATTGTACTGTGTCTTTATGGTCACTTTGCTACATGAATTGCAAAGCAGGTAAGCTTTTATTATTTGGCCTTATGTACTGAACCCTCACAAATTTGGTTCCTGGTCTTGTAAATATCACATGTAGCAAACAAACACTAATGTGCAGTACAGGAATTGTGTATCATAGGTTCATTTCAATTCATTTCAGTTTCTCTATATAGGTGAGGCTGGTCTTCTCATTTCCAAAGTGAATGCAAAGAACCCCTTCTTTGGTTATGCTGGCAGTAAGAGACATACAGAAAAGAAATTACTCAGTGAAGTATTTAAGAAGGGAGATCTTTATTTTAATACTGGAGATCTAATGGTTCAAGACCATGAGAACTTCCTGTATTTTTGGGACAGAATTGGAGATACCTTCAGGTATAATCATTGTCTCTTTTACATTTTTTTTTATTCATTAAAAAACATACATGCAGGGTAGAATAATACTTGTTCTATTTGTTTTCAGCAGGAAGTGTTCAGTTTATAACTACTGTGATGTAGTATATAATGATTTTGAAGTGGAGGATAGGAGCCTAATTTAGTAAAAAGTGCTCCTGCAGAGCTGGATAAATCATTTCCAGAAGGTTTTGTGGGAAGTCCAGGTCTTTGAACAATATTTCCACTGATCATACTGAACAATTATAGTTTTGGTTTGGGTAAGGAGAAGTGGATACTGAAATAGAGAAAAATATATCAATACTGAAGACTGGTCACATCTGATATATTTTGATATACATCAAAATTTTGCAAACCATTAAATCAGATTATGATAAATTTCAATTGTGCTTAATAGTGATAGATAATATCCAGTAACATTTTAATTACAAGTGCTAGTTATGTTTACATAACTTTATGTAATAACTTTAGTTAAAGTAATAACTTTAGTTTACAAGTGCTGGTTATCAGACCAATATACCGAGATGACATGCAGGAACACATGTGAGGTTTTAATAGCCTAAATTGAATGGAAGTCTTACTAAAGGTAATGTTTTTTAAAGAGTAGATGACCATATGTTTTCATGGTATTAAATTATTTTTTTCATGTTTTAGATGGAAAGGGGAGAATGTTGCAACAACAGAAGTTTCTGATGTCATCGTAATGTTGGACTTCATACAAGAAGCAAATGTGTATGGTGTATCGGTGCCAGGTAAAGAAAGCTTCAGTTTTATGTTTTTCTTCCCGTAGGTTTACTTGTTAACTCTCATAACTTTTTTATTTCATGTTATAAGTCTATGAATCATTTCTCTTTGAGTCATCTGCTTAATACCTAGTTAAAATCTGTACGTAGATGAAGAAAATACCAACTGTTCATGAATGAGCCAGTGAATCATGTATTTTTATCTGCATGCAATGTTGTGTACTTTTGAAAAATTATCTATCTTTCATGAATCTGTGATAGGTACATAACCTAAATAAAAGTTTCAAGCTTTATTAAATAGACAGCCATGGAAAATCCACACTTTAATGTGTCAGAAAATAATCACATCAACAAGGTAAGAATTAAAGTTACTTGAAAGTATATGAATAAAGGCTACTATTTTATTTCACTTTTAACTTAGCCTAATAACCATCTAAAACAGGAATATTATAAAACTAAAGACAGGGCAAGAAACAAACGGATAGAAAAATAAATTATTAATACATAAAATAATGTATTTTTTTTTCAGTAATATTTTTAAGCTTAATTTCATGAGATTATTTGGGCCTGATCCCCATTATTGCTAAAGGCTTTTAAAAATATGTTCTAGGAGAGGCCGGGAGGGAGATGACTTCCGTCATAGTAACCTTTAAGGTTCTGTGCTTTGCATTTGTGGATAACACACCAATGCTTGGCTATTGCTGAACAAAGCTTACACAGTGTCAAGATTTTCTCTCTACAGTGTGTATGCAGTGTTGGGCAAGAGGTTAGGAGGAAATTGCAGCCAGGAGGGCCAACCGTGTCTTGGGGTGCATCAAGCACGGCATCGCTAGTAGGTCGAGGGAGGTGATTGTCCCGCTCTACTCTGCGCTGGTGCGGCCTCACCTTGAGTACTATGTGCAGTTCTGGGCACCACAGTATAAAAAGGACATGAAACTGTTGGAGAGTGTCCAGAGGAGGGCTACGAAGATGGTGAAAGGCCTGGAGGGGAAGACGTACGAGGAACGGCTGAGGGCACTGGGCCTGTTCAGCCTGGAGAAGAGGAGGCTGAGGGGAGACCTCATCACAGTCTATAACTTCCTCGTAAGGGGGTGTCGAGAGGCAGGAGACCTTTTCTCCATTAACACTAGCGACAGGACCCACGGGAACGGGGTTAAGCTGAGGCAGGGGAAGTTTAGGCTTGACATAAGGAGGAAGTTCTTCACAGAGAGAGTGGTTGCACACTGGAACAGGCTCCCCAGGGAAGTGGTCACTGCACCGAGCCTGTCTGAATTTAAGAAGAGATTGGACTGTGCACTTAGTCACATGGTCTGAACTTTTGGGTAGACCTGTGCGGTGTCAAGAGTTGGACTTGATGATCCTTAAGGGTCCCTTCCAACTCAGGATATTCTATGATTCTATGATTCTATGATTCTAAATGTAGATAGGGCAGCTGACCCAAACTAACCAAAAGGATATTCCACATCATATGATGCCATGCTCAGTAATAAAAGTTTAGGGAAATGAAGAAGAGGGGGGACATTTTTGTTTATGGCATTTGCCTTCCCAAGCAACCATTGCCCAGGCTGAGCCATTGTTTTCCATTAAGTGCCTGGATATTTGCCTACCAGTGGAAAGTAGTGAATTAATTCTGCTTTTTGCTTTGCTAGTGTACACATTTTGCTTTCCCTTTTAAACTGCCATGAGTTTTCTCACCTTCTTTCTATTTTCCATATTCTGTGAGAGAAGGAAAATGAGTGAGAGGCTAGGTGGATGTTTAGCCCTTGGCCAAGGTGAACCCACTACATAATGATAAGTGTTTAAAATGTGGAAAAGGTGTCACTTGCCACTAGTTTAAAGCCACAAAACAAGAAAAATCAAAATGAAGAAGACTGACTGAAAATCAGGATTAAAAATATGAGAGCATACATTTGCTTGCTGATTCTTACCTGTATGAAGAAATAGCTGAATCAGTTCATAGAGCTGTCATGATGTACATGAGCTGTACTTAAAACATATGCAAATCAATTTCCTCATAGAAGCTATTGCATTCGAAAAAAAAAGGGGGGAGGGATAGAAAGGAGAAAAAAGGTTGGCTGTTATTAATATCAGATGGTTAAAATGTGAAATTGTTTTTGATTGCTGATTTATTGTTTTTATTATCTACTTGTTTTGTTTGTTTGTTTGTTTTTGTTTTTCTTCCCCAACAGTGATGCCTGCATTTCCCACAAACCAGTTAGGACTTTTAACTTCTCTCTGTTGTCAATATTCATATCCACAGTTTTGAGGGAACATACTTGCAAGAGAGAAAGGCCAAAATTGAAGCGAACGTATAATTGGTATTCCATGAAATCACCTCAGCACTCTTTTAGAGAGAGAGAGGGGGTTTTGTTATTTATCCTCAGATATTGATTAATATTGAGTATGGTACTCCATGACAGTACTCCATTTAGTCTTACCTGCCCAACTCATTTGCAGCATTATTGTTTAACTGATCACTCGAACAATCTCCAAAAGTATGTCATACTATATAAAATCTACATGTAATCTTTTTGTTTTACTGAAACTCAGAAGATGATATATTATTCGTGTAGTTCTTTTTTGTATCGCTCTTCACAAAAAATTAACTTTATTCATGTTAGAAAATTCTCATTTTACTTCCTTTTCCACAGATCATGAAGGAAAAGCAGGAATGGCCTCTCTCATTTTAAAGCAGAATAAATCATTGGACTTAGAGCAAATGTATAAGCAAGTGGTGACCTATCTACCAAGTTATGCCCGTCCTCTTTTTTTAAGAGTCCAGGTAAGCTGCATTACTGCACTGTGCATATAAACATCTATGTCATTTCAATACAGAGATAGTTGAATGAATAACAGAAAGAAAGTGCTTGCAAATATATCACTTAATTTAATTTTAGAAATGGCACAATTTGTTGTCTTCATTTACGGTATTTTGGGTAGAGGAATTACACAAAAAGATAATAAAATTTGCAGATTATGTTAAAATGGGAGTAATTGTATAAACCAGTAAAAATGGATACCATACAAAAGGGTTTGAGGAGATTAGAAGCAAGAACATGGGAGAACAAAAGGTTCAGATTAGTAAAATGTAAACTGTTGCATCTAAAATCTAAATCTATTTTATTTATCTATTTATTTTTTTATTGTATATCTATTTATTTCATAATCTAAAATCTATTTTATTTGATGGAAACAAGAGAATAGAAAAGTAAAGGTAGAGCAGAAGACATATTGATAGTGCAAATGAGACAAATGAGATGTTATTTGCTGTGTAATGTAGTGACAAAGAAGACAAAAGCATTTGAAAAGGTGCCATATTTACTGGGACTAAATAAAAAATGTTTATTATTACTGTCACCACCGTAACCATCAGAGTGCCTAGCATGCCTAATTGTATACTAGTACTTTGCTGTGGTAACTTGTCCAGTTTGGAGGAAAAAAAAAAGTCCCTTTGCCAAAGAATTGAAAATTTAAATGTGATTACAATAGGCTATATATGGATAGGAAAAAAGATAGGGAGAGTATAGAAAACACACAGTATGGATCGCTGTGATAAGTGAAGCTTGTGAGCATCTTCATTTGTGATAAGTGTTTTGGGAACACCATGACAAAGGCAAACAGCAGAAGATGGTTATGAAGAAAGTCTTCTTTGTCCAAAGGGAAGCTGAAAAACAAAATCATTGAAAAAAGAACATAGGTTATGGGAGTTGGTTCTCTGGGTCAGTCAGAGATTGAATACTGATTAGAATAAAGGGGTAAAAAGGAAGAGACTGTGAAAAACCTTGAAAATGAGAAAAAAAATAGTAAGTCTAGAAAGCATTCTGCTATCAATCAGATATTATTTGCACATATATAGTATATAAATGTAAAGATAGAATAGAAGGCACCAGTAAGTGGAGCTCAGAAGACAGACGGAGGATAGACATAATGAAGAAACATACTCTCACAAGTCCATGGAGTATGAGAAAGTATGAATAGCAGACTTAATTAATTACGCATTAAGGATTGATGACAGATCAAGGGAATAAGCAGTAACTGCACTAAAAATTCATAAGTAAAATTTCATTAGGAACTTTGTCAAAATTATTTAATGAATTAAGTAGCACAACACTCAGAGATTTAACTGGCATGATCTAGAGTGGTAGTGGAGGAGTTGAATCCAAGACTGGTGATAAATCAGTTAAGGTTACTGAAGTTTGAGATGAGAATTAAATAAGTTAGTCACTGCAGAGGATAGTGGTGCCTGTGACACTGGGTTTTGATGGAAGACAGAAAATCCTACTTGTTTTGAATGTAGAAAGAAAATGTCTAGTGCTGGACTAAGAACAGAAGAGTAGGAAGATGGAGTATAGTTACTGGAGAAATTGATTTGCTTATTTTTCAAGGCAGATGGAAATTTTCTTTTTGATGTGAGAGAAAAAAAGGAGGTGTATGAGGCATGCCTGGAAAAAAAAAAAAAAAAAAAAGTGGAAACAAGAGCAGAGTTCTATATTGTTCATAGGGACTGAAAGACAAGATGAAGTTTAGGAAAAAAAATAGAAATACAGAAAAAAAAATCTCAGTAGAGATGTTTCCTACTACTTTTTCCAAGGGACACAGTGACTCTGAAGAGAAGCTTGAAAACATTATAAAATGTGTAGTAAAAATCCAGCTTTATTTGGACCACAGTAATTTTGTGTGATTCTTTCAACCCATTCTTAATGCCAAAACAGTCAAAGACATAGAGAATTTCCTGATTTTTTTCAGTAAGTAGTTCCTGTTAATAGCATATTTTATTTGTTGAAATTCTTTCTGATGTGTGGATTTATAATGTGTACAAATGAAGATGCTAGGTTGTCTCAGGCATGGTGGGGCTCCACCAAAGGGTTTGATAACATTTGATAACTACACAACAATTCAGAAAGCAAGAGGCTGCAGTGTTTATCCATATGTCAATAGGTGGTGGTCCAGCACAAAAATGCTGGGAAAAACATTGTTTTACAAAGTAATAAGGCCAAACAGATCTTATATTAAGTAAGACTTTTAAAAACAAAAACTTGTTTTCAAATCAAATGTTGTGAGCAAAAGAAAATCAGCTCTTCTACTGAATAATAAATATATTTTTTATCTCTTCTGCAGAAAACAATGGAAATGACTGGAACTTTCAAACAACAAAAATTTCGATTAGTGGATGAAGGTTTTAATCCATCTACAGTTACTGATCCTCTTTATTTTTTAGACGATTCTAAGCAAGCATACGTCTTGTTAACCAAAGAAGTACATGAGAGGATCTTATCTGGGCAAATGAAACTTTAATTAACCGTATAGGCTCATAGGCTATTAGGAGACAGTCTGTGTCTTTACATGAGCTACTGTGTTAGAAGCAGTGAAAATAATTACCAATATTTATATTTTATTATCCAGAACAGTATTTTATATACTTTATATTTAGTTTCAGATATGTCTTGTATCTTTCCTCAGTTGATAATTGTTCATTAATCATTTCTACCTCTTGAGATCAATTACAAGTAAATGACCTGTAAAACAAGATTGAAATCTATTTTATCTTCATTTTGGAATATAGATGCAGAGTCTGATAGTTTTTTTTTAGTACTAAATTAACATGAATGATATAGGGAATGCTAAATAGTAAAAAAAAAAAAAAAAAGATCCAACATATAAAAATGTAGTGACAGAAACTGTTATTAGTTCTAGATAGACAAAATAAGCCAGTAACATATTTTTAGTGTAATTTACATTTCATGTGTACTTACAAATATATGTTTTAGGAAATAAGGCTTGAAAGGGGTTGGAAAAAAACTCTTATGTGGAGGACTTTTCTGATGGAACATAAGATGAAAGATAATGAAATAGAAGAAAGCCCTCCAAACAAAAACAAAACTAGAAAGTTAATACTAACATTATTGCTGGGATTTTTTTGTCATAATGCATGCTCTTTCATTTGTTAAACTGGCTCTTTGGAGTATCAGGTTATGAAGACAGACCGAACTTTTGTGTAATGTTTAGCAGCACGTCAAAAGTAGGAAGAAAATCACTCATATAGCACAAAAATAATTCTTAAAGGGCTTTATGTCATACATACTGACTAATAAATAGCCTCCTTACTCTTACTAATGATTGCCAGAAATTGTTCTTTATGGGTATAAAAATATCAGAAATTTAAAAATTCCTAATAATATATTCTGATGCACTACTTTGCAAAAGTTTTAAAATAAAATATAAGATTATTTAAACAAATTTTGTACTGTCTCAGTTAAAGTCTGATTGCTTAAAGACTTTTTAATAGCCTGTTTCAATACTTTACTTACACAGTACAAATAATGGGACAATGTCCTCCTCTAATGGATCATGTTCCTAGCTTTGATCAGTGGCCTTAATGGCCAGAAGTATACCAGTATTATGGAATACTGCAAGGGGGATTCTGTTCTGTCTTTCTTTGTTTCTTTCTACTTTGTTCATCAAACAATGCATTAGAAATTGTGTCTACTTCTGTTTCTTTGATTATCACTTTCATTGATTTTACTTAAAATCCCAAACCAATGTATATGAGCCATTTTATAAGACACTGCAAGGAGTTAGGTGATTGGCTAGTGACTGTTCTTGCTTGTTGCTATCTCATGCATATTTCAAGTAGCCAGCTGTAACTTGCTTGGCTGAAGGTCAAGCCCACACAAATTCTATATTCTGTATAGAAGCTCACCCGTCATGCTTCAAGCTTTCTCAGACATGGAACCTGACCATATGGGGTGGCTGCCATAAGGGTGACCACATTGGACCATCCACTGTGACCAGAACCCAATACACGAATGTGCATGAACCGGTATTAGAAAAGTGCTGACCACTTAAATAGGAGCAAGCCTTAACCATGTACTGATGCTCCTCAGCACCTGGTGGTCTCCTTATCTTGGCAGGGCTCCTGTGGCTTCTCCTGCTGTCTGGAGAATTAATAAACTGCATTGCACCTATTGTCTACTGTTTGGATTCTTGCCAACTGTGAACTCCAGACCTTTTATTCTGCACACAAGAATGCAATAAAAATTATACAAAGACTCTTAACTTGCTTGCTTCTGAATGCTATATTCTTCATGGGACTGCCGATACAAATAAGCAAGTTTGCAGTTTTGTCGTTCACAAGTAAGCAAAACCAAACAATACGTCACCAACATCATGCTTCATGTTAGATGTTATTATATATTAGATGTTATGTGTTAAGCACATAAAGAGGAAAGGAGACAACTGCTAGGTAAGAGTGAAAGGGGTTGATATGGTCTAGCACTTCCTGAGCAGTTCCACTTTTTGTATCTGCTTCTTTTTGTAGTTCCCTAAATTGCTGTCAACACCAGAAAGATTTTATTTTTTGCTTCTTGTTTTGGTTTGATACAAATATCAATGTTTTGTTCTGAACACAGTTCCACTTTTCTAATCATGGACTGCAAATTTAAGAGTCAAGTATTTACAGTAGAGTTAAACCTAACTTTGCAAGATAGGTTACAATTTTCAGCAACATTGTTGTTGAAATCAAAACTATTTTATCTTTTATGTCCATCTCACCATATATGTGTTGACTATACTTCAGGATCTCTTTTCTTTTATTGCAACACTAATGTGGCAAATAATACATTTTTCATAAATAAAAAAAAAAAAATGTACCCTGAGATCTACAGTAACTTCTTAAATCTTGTAATAGAATAAAACTTAGTATATTGAAATCAAATACTCAACTTTGTTGTTATATTTACCACTTTTTATTTGTTCTGCTTTAAAATGTTTGATACTGCTTATGACTAGTGAAAAGGTTCTACATCAAAAGAAAGGAGAAAAAAAAGAAATATGAAAAAAAAAATACAAGCAGACAAGTAAATACTTTTCCATTAAAAAAAAAAAAGTTTGGGACTATCACTATTTGGTGGCTTAATTTGTAATGTACCTAAGATGGAGAAGACTGTTTCTGCATGGGAAGGTTAAGACAGAAACTGCAAAATTGTGCCTGGGAAGTTTTATTTTGCGCAGTGAGGGTAGAGCAGCAACAGTGTGGCAGGGGTGTGGATGGAGAGCTGCACTGCTAAGGTCACTTATTAGAAAAAAGAAGGAAAAAAAAAGGGGGGATTAAAATAAATACAAGTAATTACTTTTGAGCTTTAGAGTATTATTTGCAAGTTGGGATGGTCAATGGTGAAAGAAGCATTTATTAAAAAAATTAAAGACCTGAATTTGGGATGCTTATTTAGGGAGTGTAAAATGCTAAGGGTCAACACTACCCACTCTCTTTGTCCTAGAAGACCTGGTATAGTTAATACAGCTGCAGTCTGGGTAAGTTTCACAAGTCTCTCTCAGAATCCTCAAGAAATGGCAAAAAATACAAAGTTATAAGCAGATCACAGCCTGAATTTTTTTCCCCTCCAGTAACTCAGGTGGATATAGCTTTTCAAGAGATGAGGAGGCATCTAAACTGCCCCTGTTTATGATTCTTCAAGCTCCTCCCCACACCAAATGGTGCACTAGGATTGGGAATGGGGGTTGTGGTCAGTTCATAAGGATTTATCTCTGCGCCTCTTTCTTCCTCATGCTCTTCCCATGCCCCCCGTGGGGTCTCTCCCATGGATGCCGTCCTTCCCCAACTGAGCCTGCGGGGGCTGCCCACAGGCAGCAGCTCCTCAAGCACTGCTCCCACATGGCTCTGTCCCACGGGGTCCATCCATCCATCCCCCAGGAGCAAACTGCTCCAGCACGGGTCCCCCACGGGTGGGGGCAGCTCCCCCCAGACCCCCTGCTCCTGCGGGGGCTCCTCTCCACGGGCTGCAGCTCCGACCCGGGGCCTGCTCCTGCGGGGGCTCTCCATGGGCCGCAGCCTCCTCCAGGCCACATCCACCTGCTCCAGCGGGGGCTCCTCCACCCATGGGGGGGCTGCAGCGTGGAGATCTGCTCCATGGGGGACCCATGGGCTGCAGGGGGACAGCCTGCTCCACCAGGGGCCTCTCCCTGCACAGCCCGCAGGGGAACTGCTGCTGCCTGCCTGCAGCACCTCCTGCCCTCCTGCTGCACTCACCTGGGGGCTGCAGGGCTGCTTCTCTCACACTGCCTCGTTCCCCTCTCTCACCTGCTCTTGTGCAATGTTTTCCCCTCTTTCTTAAATCCTCTCTCTCAGAGTGCAACCAGCATTGCTGATGCTTTGGCAAGCAGCAGGTCGCTTTTGGAGCCAGCTGGAACAAGCACAGGACAGTCCTCTCCCAACAGGAGATGGCCTCTCCCAACAGGAGATGGCCCTGCAGCTCACTCTCGCTCTGACAAAATCTTGCCAGGTGAATCCAGTACACCCTCACATGCCCATCAGCATTCCTGTGTCCATATCAGCCACCACAGAGAAATTACTTCAATTGTTCTACAAACTCCCTGTAGATGACAAAGTAAATGGTTTCGATGGTTTTGATTTTTCATTTATTTTGTGTGTGTGTAAGACAAAAAGAGGTAGAGAGAAGCAGTCCTGCTTACATTTTTTTTAATTGAAAATGCTAGACAGATATGCAGGGAAAAACAAACAAACAAAAAAGACCCTTTGCTTCTAAAAAATAAGTAAATAAATATTCATTTTCTGTTAACTATGAAACTGGTTACTTGAACTGCATTCTCACTCATGGCAGAAATCATGACACATACTAATTTCTATGGAAATTATTCATTAAGTCAAAACCGATTTTAAGTGAGTAATTTCCATCTGTTTAAAATTTGCTATCTTCAAAAAGTATTTAATGTAAAATTAGGTGCAAAGATTCAGCAGACAGCCAAAGAATGTTCTAAATGAACAGCAGTAATTTTAGGAATAAATTTAGTGAGATCTTATATAATTAGCAGTGCTGTCAATAACTGACAGCATAGTCTGGTAATTAACTGCACTACAAGGGTAACATCAGAAAATCATCACATTATGTCCTGGGGTTCGGGACATAACTCCTGACGCATCATATACACCCTTAATGATAGATTATATTATCTAGATGGCAATGGTAGTTTAAAATAAACTAGGTCATTACCAGAGGGGAATGAAATTCCAGTATCACAAACAAATCCACAACTTCTCCATGGTCTGAGAATCTCCTACTGAAATAGTCTTCATTCAGTATCTCCAAACACTGCATCAGATATGGTTCAACTCTGGCAGTCAAGAGTTGCTTTTACTGACATAGTTAAAGGAGAGAGGGATTTAGCAAATCAGTCTTCATTGCTGCCTTGCAGCAGGAGATACACTGACCTACTTCTATCTGGAATTGTTCTGGCACTACGAGGTTTGCACAGTTCCCATTATTAAATATTCCCATATTGGAAATGTTTTCTCACATAAGATCTCCTGTCCCATATATATTTTTACTATTATTACTCCATAATTATTACTCATAAGAAGGACACTTATGCTGGCAAAAAATAAAATAAAAACAAAACCACATATATATATATATATATATATATTTGTTGTGCCTCCTTTTCTTCAAGTAACTGGTACTGATATACTGAAGAAATTAATAGTTCTTTCAAGTATGCATTACTGGTAAGTAATAGGACTGGCCAAGCCTGATAAATTGTGGTGGTTCTTGGTTTAGAACTCAACTACATAGCTAATAAATAAATAAATAAAAGGAAAAAAGAACATCATAACAAATTGAGTTCTGAGCACCTTTAACTATCTGAAGTACATTTTTGCAAGAGAGGAGTGAATGCCTTGATTAGAATTCTAATATGAAGAATGCTGACTAATTATGCTCTTTCATTCAGTACAGCCTGCTGTGTGCAGATAAAGAGTTTTCATTCTTTTACAGCACTTAATGTATGGAAGGACATACCTTTGCTTTTAAAATACCATTGAAAAAAATAGGTTCAATCCAAAACCTGACATCTTTTTTTGTTATTCAGTCATTTGTCTAGTAATTGTCATCACTCATCTGCTTTTGACAGGTATTTGTTCGTCTTTGTTAAGAGTATGTGGACAAAATATACTCACAGGTTTCCAAATCAGACAAGTTCACTTAATCTAACATGCATGGAAGGTATCTGTAATTGCCAAACTCTGGCATCAACACTATTTATGCTTATAATAGTTAATTAGACAGTTAAATAGCTGCATATCTTTTCAATTTTAGAAATTAAACTTTTAATAGGCATTGAGATAATATTTTCTGATTGAAGTTTCTCAACCTAAAAAAATACAAATGTAAAGAGGAAAAGGTCTCTGTACATTCTTGATTTGC